CCCGAGGCTGGAATTGAACTTGGGTCTCTGGTGCTGTGAGGCAGCAGTGCTAACCACTGAGCCACTGTGCCACCCCCAAGCAAATAACTGATGGAGCAACTGAACATGATTGTTCTTAAGATGTGCCCTGAGGAACTTCTTCAACAATGTTCTGAGTTCTGACAATGATTGGTATGCAAAAGCCACAATGATCTTCCTTAGCGCTAAGTATGACTCCAATCAATGGAGAGTTTTCACCTAATCCCCATTGGCCTCGTGTTTGACTAGGACTGTTCAATAATACACTCAAACTTCACTTCCAGAATTGAGCTCCTGTCTATGTTTGGACTGATGGTATTACATAGGAATGGCTTGGCTAGAACCTCTGAGGAAGGATCACCAGACCCAAAACGTTAACTCCTGATTTTTTCTTCATAGATGCTTCCAGACCTGCTGAGCTTTTGCAGCAACTTCTGCTTTTGTGCCTGATTTACAGCAGCCACAGTTCCTTCAGTTTTTATTGTGTTTTATAAGAGTTCAGTAGCTTTAAGGTCATTTGATAATAGCAGTAATTTATTCTAAACCTTTGGTGTATTTTTGAAACAGAATTAAAATGCAAATTTTTAATCTGATATGTCTTTACAGAACTTAATTGAGAATTTAATAATACGATTTCAAGGAGGCCATATAAACGTGAGTGGTAAATTATTTGAAGTCTGATTCACGATTCAATTGGAACACTGTGGGAGTGTTACTCCCTCTGGTGGCAGATATTAAGTAATGACTGTGTATGCAACTTGGTGGATCTCATTTTTGAAAATGTTGCATTGTATTTTAAGCTCAGGAAACAGTTTTGTGCCAAGACATTGTTATTGTGACCAAAATGATCAACGCCAAAATTGAAGCCTGCCAAGATAGCTTAGTTGTTTAATGGTTAAATACAATAGCCTGTGCATTACTGAATGGTACAGACAAAACATTGTCGATGTGTGATACAAGCTGGCCTTGGCTCGGTTAAAGTTGTGACAACTGGCCTCATCATCACCACCATCATCATCATTGTCATCATCATCATCAGGCTGAAGGAATGCTGCTATAAATTCTCTGGAGTTTCCTTTGTAACTCCTTTGCCTCTTTATCACCTTGTCTGTCTTTAAGAACTTCATTAAAATTTATACATCCAATTAGAGTTTTGCTCACTCTTCCAAATAGGGTCATGGAGTCACAGGGATATACAGCACGGAAACAAAGCCTTCAGTCCAACTCATCCATGCCGACCTGATACCCGAGATAAATCTAGTCCCATTTCCTGGTATTTAGTCCATATTCCTTGAAACCCCTCCTAATCATATACCCATACAGATGCCTTTTAAATGTTGTAATCATACCAGCCTCCACCACTTCCTCTGGCAGCTCATTCCATATATGCACCACTCTAGAGAGGGAGTAGTAGATTTGCCAGGATGCTGCCTGGAGATGTGAGATACAAGGAAATATTGGGTAGGCTGTGGTTATTTTCTTTGGAGCAGCAAATGTTGAGGGGAGACATGACAAAGGTGTATATTATGATAAGGGACATAGATAAGGTCTATGGAAGCACAAGGAAAGGTAATATAAAGCAAAGGGTATAATTCTAAAGTGGTACAGAAACAGAGATTGGGGATATATGTATATAAAGTTTTGAAAGTGGCAGTACATGGTAGGCCAATGGTTATAAAAGAATAAGGTTTTATAAACAGAGGGACAGAGTACAAAATTAAGGAAGTTGTGATGAACCTCTGAAACACTGATTTGACTGAAGGAGTATGTCCAATTCTATGCACCATTATTTTAGGAAGTATGTGGAGACTTTAGAGACAGTGCAGTAAAGGTTTACAAGAATGGTTCCAGGGTTGAGGGACTGTCGTTATCTGGATACATTGGAGAGGCTTTGATTGCTCTTTTTAGAAGAAATTTAATAAAGGCTCTCAAGATCACGACAATTCTGGACTGAGTAGATAGACAGAAACAGTTCCCATTCTCATCCCTTCAATGATTTCTATTTGATTATATTCTGGGGAGAGTTCAATAGCAAAATCTGTGGGTAACTGCAGAATCACTGAGTGACACTTCCGAATTTCTGTATTTAACTGTACATGTGCACTCCAGAGGTGGCTTCTGGTTTCAGAGATGTATAAACAGTGAATGCTACCAGTTTTGCTGCTGGCACAACAGCCAGATCGATAAGGATTAATAAAAAAACTTGCTGGAAGCAAAGGTGATCCTTAAAATCTCCTTTAACCCCCCCCTTCCCATCTCTATTTGGGTTAGATTCAAATTTTGTTTGATAACTTTCCTATGAAATGCTTTAGGACTTTTCCTACATTAAAGGTGTCATAAAATGCAGATGGGTATTGTCACCCACCAGATCCATGCCCATCTTTCCCACATCTCCATTCTTGAATCTCTCCAAACAAGTCACAAAAGACATTTTCCACAACTTTAAACACTGTGCATTATCTTTCCTTGTTCTTCATCTCTGTATTTTTGATACAGTTGACAACACCATTCTGCTCCTAAACTTCCTCACTGTTAGGATCAAGAGAACTGCATTGTTTGGTTGTATTTGTCAGCAGACCATCTCCATCAATGGTTACTGTTTCTGAGTTGCAATTTTGTTAACTGTAGAGTTTCCTGAAGATTTAATTTTGGACCTTTTCCTAACTCTAACTAAATGAAATCTGACCAGTGTTATTGAACATTCTAGAACATCGTTTTCTGTTTCCAGCACTGTAATATTCTCCTCAATCAATACTGCTCCTCAACCTTTCTCTCCTTCCCCATCTTTCGTGAACAACTCGTATCAAGAGTATTTGATACTCAGCCCTGTACTCCTTTAGCTAGGTCTCCATCTGCAGCACATCATATTCCATGTGGTTACCTGTGCCTGAAGCTCACCAACCATATTTATCATGCTTCAAGCATACCTGCGTTACGAACATAATTTAGACCTTATTGTGTAGACCCTATTGCAATCCCTCTTACTCTTATCGCATCTAATACCTTACTATTTCTTACTTTGGTGCCATCTGTCTCTCTAAATACTTTGTGCACCTTATTTCTCCTTTTTAATTCTACACCCTGTCAATTTAGTTTAAACTGTCACCAACAGCACTAGCAAAACATTTCACTAGGACATTAATCTCAGTTCTGCTTAGGTACAACCTGTCTGGCCTATATGGGCACCACCTCCACCAGAATGAGTCAGAATATCAGAAATCTAATGTCTTCTCCTCGTGCAGCATCTCTCCAGTCATGCATTTGACTGCTGTATCATTGTAATTATTTCCTCACTAGTCTGTGTAAGTAATCTGGGGATGACTACCCTTAAGGATCTGCATGCTAGTCTCATTTCTGACTCCCTATAATCTCCCCATTCCTGCCACTATGTACGTTGTTAATATTAATGTAGACCTTGATCACTGACTGTTCACTGTTTAGAGTGCTGCGCAATTGTTCCTTCCTTGACTTTGACATCATGGACACAACATAGCATACTGTGGTCGAACCCATGGCTGCACAAATGGCTGTCTATTTCCCTTACCAGAGAATCCCTATTGCTTTGTTTATTGCAGTTAATGTATGAGTCTTTCTCAATTTAATTTGTTTTTGGCTGTTAGGTTTTTTTGGGTCTGTATCAAGGTTTGCAAGTTTTGTCCATTGGCTGTGCATACCAAATCCAAAGTTAGAATGATATTTACTGTTTCTGTGAAATTCGAAGTTTCTTGCTACTAAGCTTTAACTAGAACTTAATATTTCTTTTATATTTCAAGAGTGTTCAATTTCTGGATATGAGTAAATCTGGAAGTATATCAAATTACTTTTTAAATAACATGACAGGTTTCTGTTTTTCTATCGACCACTATAGAGGAGGACAACTTAGATGTAAAAATTGGTGGGGTGGGGTGAGGTGTAATGTACTTTTAACAAATTAGCATTGAAAGGAAGGAGGTATTAGCAGTTTTAGCAGGTTTGAAAGTGGATAAGCTCAGATGAGGTGAATCCCAGGCTGCTGTGAGAAACAAGGCAGGAGACTGCAGTGACTGAGACAATTTTCAAATCCAGATGACTGGAGAACGGCTAATGTTGAAAATAGGTGGTAGGGATAACCTCGGAAACTACAGACCAGTAAATCTAACATCAGTTGGGAAACTATTGTAAATAACTTTGAGGAACATAATTAATCTCGACTTGGACTGGCAAGGATTTATGAAGAATCAAACAAAAACAGAAACTGCTGGAAAAGCTCAGCAGGTCTGGCAGTACTTGTGAAGAAAAAACTGAGCTAACATTTCAAAACCAGTGATCCTTCTTCAGAACACATTCTGGAGGAAAGAGTTCTAATGTTGGGTCAACGAAATGTTAACTCTGTTTTCTCTTCACAGATGTTGCCAGGCTTACTGAGTTTCTCCAGCACTTTGTTTTTAAGAATGAGTAAGTATAACTTTTTGTGCTGGGAGCCTGCCAATTACCATCTGTGGTTGGGCATTTCCTTAGAAGCTACATCAGAGGATCTCCCCACTTTAACCAAGCCTGCTTAGCTAAACAGACCTCACTCCCACGTCCAGCAGGATAATCCTCAAAAAGAAACTTGCTTGAAATCCAGTTCATATGGGACTCAAAATGTTGACTGTGCTTCTCTACCCACAGATGCTACCTGACCCTCTGAGTTTCTCCAGCACCTTTTAATTTTATTTCAAACATCCTGTGTTGGCTCTTAGCCTCTAGGAATCGCCTTCTCACAGAATCACAGTAAAAGGCGACCATTCGGCCCATCCTGCCCGTGCCGGCTGATTGAAGCCCAGAGCCAGCCTCCCATTGGACCGACTCTCAGCTCAGCCTTTGGGATCCGTGACAACCCATCCAATCAGCGAACTCGCCCTGTAACCCGTAGCAACGGCCACACTTTCTCCTGACGTGCGCGCGCAGCTTCGCTCCCCATCTGCAGGCACGCGTGCGATTCCTTCGTTTAGTTTTCGCGGAGCGAGCGCGCGTCGGGAAATCTGTATCGTTCGAATAAAAAAAAGTGGCGTTTCGTGTTTTCCGCGCGGGCAGGGCGGTGTTGGAAACTTCCGTCTCCCTTTCTAATTTTGGCAAAAGAAGAAGTAATGCAAGTTTTGGTAGACTTTTGAACTCGGGCGGGGAGGTCAAAGGTCGGAATCAAAATGGCCGCCCTGGCGGACGGCGGTTTGAGACGGCGCGAGGGGGGAGCGGAGGGGCGGTGACGACAGGGCGCGAGAGCTGGCCCAGGCGCGAGCTCGAGCAACCGCCGCCTCTCACCCACCACCAGCACCCCCCCTCGTCCCCACCGCCGTCACCCCTCATCCCCCCCTCTTCGAGACTCGGAGCAATGAGAAGCAACGGCGAGTCGTATCTCGTTTAACCCAGAGTGAGCGCGGCCCAGCTAGACATGAACAGGAAGAAGGGAGACAAGGGGTTCGAGAGCCCGAGGCCCTATAAATTATAAGTATTTTCCGTCTCTTCTCGCTCGGTGTATTAGTGCGTTTTTCTCTTACCTCAGCGTGACTTTATTTCTTCCAACATCACACCCCCGCCCCGGCTACCCCGTAATCTCCATTTCTCACTAACACCTTGGCCGAAGTTAAGGCTGCAAGAAGGTCTTAAGTCAACCCGCAGGCGCAAGACATTCACCTGGACCTGAAGATGTGGGCTCTTGGATAGAAAAGAGGTTGGGGATGTAACTGAACCAAAGGGATAATCTTGCCCTTTAGACCATTGCCCAGAGAGGTCTTGGAGGAATTTGAGTAATAACTGCAGTTGGCCATTATGCATATAGCGCCTTTAATTTAGTAACGCGTCCCAAAGCGTTTTATTTAAATAAAAATTGACACCAAGTGACACGAGCTACTAAGGAACGTAATGCTGTTTTTTTTTAAAGAGTGCCTTGAAAAAAGGCAGAGAAAGAGGCTTAGGAAGACAGAGCTTTGAGTGAGTTCAACTTTACAGGATGCTGCAAGTTATGAAGCCTTCGTTATATTTGGAGATATTTAAAGCAAGGATAAGGGTGAGAACTGGTTGTATAGAGGTGGAAGTCATTACTTGAGTGTGGATCTTGATTCAGGTATTCATGATGTAATACCTTGTGCTGTGAAATTCTAGAAATAGCTCAAGTTTTTGAAGGACTGGCGAGATGACTTGCTTAAATTGATACCTCAGTTAGTGAAGATGTTATGGATATTCATCTGTGCTGGTGGAAAAATTAAAATAATTTGTTAAAAAAAGTGGGCATTATAGTTGTGTACCCTCAGACTCAACCTGAGTGAAAAACTAGGATATATCCATATTTGATAGTTTAATTGTTGCTTGGGGCAGAATGTTGCACCAGAGCGTTGATAGATTGAGTGACAGAACTTTGGCAGATGGAATTTAAATGCAGAGGATTGAGACTTTGGGCTTAATAAAGAAGATCAGGGTATTTTCTGGATCACAAGAAGCAGGGAAATTCCATGAGAAATGATGGGAGATGGTTTTCAAGTGGAGTATAAATGTTGGCATGGATTGGATGATAAGAATGACTTGCTTCTGTTATGTATTCTGAGTGATGTTGACGCCATGTATAGAAATCAAAAAAGCTAATGGCGAGATATGAAAAGTGTAAACAGATAAAGTAGAATAGTGACCTTTATCTTAAGGAGTTACATATAAGTGGGTGAAGGCTCATGTTCAGCTACATCTGAAGTACTATGCATGTTAATGTATAGTATATTAAAATTGCTTATATTGCTTCAAAATCAGAAGAACAGACATGTTTTTTTGAGGTGTGTAGGATGTAACATGGAGGAAACAATCTCGATTAGATCTGAATCCTTCAGGGGAGGTGTTCTGACCACAAGGGCAGTGAAAAATTGAGGCTGAATGGTCTGCCCTTGTTCTTATGTAATGGGATAACTAGTTTCTAAAAGCTTGCTGCTTTGAAATTAGATTGTTCTACAAATGCCACAGAGAGCATGCAACCTTATACAAGTAAAATTGATTTGTTTAACTGATTAAACTTATTTATTAAATTATTTTGTAGTGGATTCTTGCTGGGAGTAAAGCTGGTGATAAGTTCATTGTAGTTTATCTAGATTGAGAGTTTTCCCCAACGTATGCAGGCCACTAATATGTAACCAACAATTACCATGTTCATTCCACCTAACATACGAGCGTAAGAAACAATTTAAAACTCCAGCTTGATCGAGTGTAAGCTGCTTTACTCATCTGTTTGTCACATTCTATTGGGGAAATAACACAAAACATCACATCTTCCTTGTATGTGATGCAACTTAATCAGTTTCTGTTAAACAGTCGCATATCTAAACTGTCATTTCAAAACTCTGCTAACCATTCAAATACCCAAATTTTAATTGGGGATGGACTTTGGATCTGGTCAGTCAGAAAGGTTGTAAGTGCCCAGATATCCACTTGCTCTTCAAGCAGTGTGCGGTCAGATGTAAATTATTGATTCACAGTAAGAAAATGGTTCAACTCTCAGAACTCATGCAAGATACAACAAAATACGAGCCATTATGCAGCTTCCATTTGTGGGGGTGGATTGGAGGGTAAAACCTGGCTTGAATTAGGAGGGAGGAGGTAACCCTGATTTTTGAAAAGGACAATTGGAAATATTTGCAACAAGTATTTTCAAAATGTCATATAAATTTAAACCCCAGTTTCGTTTCTATTTTTATTGCTTTCTGATAAATTACTAGTTGCCACACACTGGCAAATTCATTCATCTTTTGAAAAGAACAATAATTGGAATCTCTGTAGATCCTTGGAATTTTTTTCAGTTTGTAGGGCTTAATTTGAGAAACGTTTTAGCAGGTGTAAGCCATTCAACCCATTGAGCCTGCTCTGCCATTCATTAAATTATGATTGATTGTTCATTTCATCACTTTTCATGCTATTCTCATATCCCTTGACGCGGTTTAAGACTCGGAAATCTATTGATCGAAAAGATAAATGATTGACCTATAACAGCCTTCTGAGGGAGAGAATTACAAATGTTCACCACTTGAAAAAAATTCTCAGTTCAGTCTTCAGTGGGTTAAAGGCTGATAATTCCCCAGGGCCCGATAAGCTGCATTTCAGAAATGGCACCAGAAATATTGGATATATTGGTGGTCATCTTCCAAAATTGTATAGACCCTGAAGCAGTTCCTACTGATTGGACGATTGCAAATGTAAGGGAGGGAGATTAAACAGAATTTCAGATCAATCAGTCTCACGTCAAAAGCTGGGAATGCTTCTGAAAACCTCAGGACCAACTGGTGTCTTGTTTAAAGGATATTTCTAATTTTTGGGATACCCTATAGTCTGTTTGCATCCTTTGGAGGGGAAAAAGCTTTGCTTAACCTGAATGAATCTAAAAAGTGAAGCTTTTTTATTTTCAAAGACTCCAAAGGGACCTGTAGACACGCTGAGTTTGACCCTTCAGGACAAAAAAAGACTTTGCTTTTGGTTAGTTCAAGTTAAAGTTTCTTTTTGCCCCAAAAGGGCCAGAACCCATGTGTCTACAGGTCCATTTGTGCCTGCTTCCGAAAAGACCTTCAGTTTTGAGGTTGCTTCAGTTTTCAGACCTGCGGATAATGGCTGTCTGACCTGTAGTGGGCAAAATGCTCGAATTTATTATAAAAGTTTTGATAACAGAACATATGGAAAGCATTAACCAGTTTGGATAAAGCCTAAAACGCGCAAAAATAGAAAATGCTGGAGAAACTCACCATTGCTATCGGTTCTAAGGAAAGGTCACTGGATTCGAAATGTTAACTCTGCTTTCTTTCCACACATGCTGCCATACCTGCTGAGTTTGTACAGTAGTTTCTGTCTTTGTTAGTTTCACATTTGCAGCATCTGCAGTTCTTTGCTTTCTTTTAGTGGATAAAGGCATCAGGAGTTTATGTATGGCAAACCATGTTTAACTAATCTACTGGAGTTTCTTGAGGTCGTAACGAGTAGAATAGATGAGCGCAAACCAGAGGATGTGCTGTATTTGGATTTCAGGAAGGCTTTTGATAACGTCCCACGTAAGATTATTGTGGGAAAAATTAAAGCAAATGTGTTTGAGGATAATATAATGACATAGAAAATTGTTTGACAGACCAGAAGCACAAAGTGGGAATAAATGGGTCTTTTTTCCTTGGTGACAGGAGGTAACTAGTGATGCACTGCTGTAATAGATCCCAGCTAATCACAGCAATTGTGAGGACGATGCAAGGAGGCTTCATGACGTTTATAGACAAATTGAATGAGTAGATAAATATATGGCAGATACAGTACGTCATGGCTATTACTTAAATGATATATTGTTAAATGTGGATGTGGCCTTGTAAATCATTCAATGGAAGTAAAGAGGCAGGGGCAGCAATCATTTAAGAAGACAAATGGTATGTCGGCCTTGCAAGTGTATTTGAGTTTAGAAGTAAGGAGTCTCACTGCAGTTAGTTGTATGGGCCTTCATGCGATCGTACCTGGAATATTGTGTGCAGTTTTGGTCTCCCCACATAAGAAATGATATACTTGCCGTTGTGGGAGTGCAGCAAAAGTTCACTTGGTTGATACTGGGATTGCAGAAAGTGGTGAATGAGGAGAGATTGTTTTGACTGGAGTTGTATTCACTATATTTTTGAAGAATGAGAGGGGATGTGATTGAAACATATAAAATTCTAATAGGGCAAGACTAGATGCTTGGTAGGCCCTTTAGGACTGAGATGAGGAAACATTCATCATTCAGAAGATGGTCAGCTTGTGAAATTTATTACCATAGAAGGCTGTGGGGTCAGAGTATGTTTAGGAAAGTAATTGGTAATGTTTTAGACAGTAAAGAAGAGAAAGCAGGAATGTGGCATTGAGATAAAGGATCAGCCATGATCTTGAAGGGCAGAGCAAGGACAAAGGGCCGAATGGCCTACCCCTTCTAGCTTCTATATTTCTAAGTGGCCAACCGCTTACACAGTAATCACAAGGTATGTCCATTCACACAGCAGCCAAATCTCTGTAAAACATTACATTGAGATTTAGCGCAGAGTTTGAACTAAAGGAACGAAAGTGTATTCTGTGACAACAAGGTGCAGAGCTGGATGAACACAGCATGACTTGTGGTAAAACTATCAATGAGCGTAATGTTTTTTCTGTCATTTGCTGATGAAGGGTCTAGGCCCGAAACGTCAGCCTTCCTGCTCCTATGATGCTGCTTGGCCTGCTGTGTTCATCCAGCTCTGCACCTTGTTGTCTCGGATTCTCCAGCATCTGCAGTTCCTACTGTCTCTGAAGGTGTATTCTGTGTTGCTGTATAGATATTTATAATCAATGTGTTCAGGTATTTTATGTCATGCCTCTGGACCAGTTGGGGCTTGAACCTGAGCTTTTGGGCATTGAGGTATGGACAGTCCATTGCATCACAAGGCATTAGTGCTGCTATTATAACCCCCACCCCGTAAATCTAACTGTTTGAACTGTGCCAAATAATTATTTAATTTAGCTTAGTTGTCTGAGCACTCGCTACACTGAACTGTGATTTACTTTTGATTTATGTCTTTATACAACTCACCAGGTGGTCTGCATAAATAATATAAACTTCCAGAGAAAGTCTGTTATAGTAAGTACTCAATATATTTTTCAAACTTTTAACTAAAGATGATTTCAGATATGGTAAACAAGAATTTTGTATAATCATGTTTGCAGGGATTTGTGGAGTTGACCATATTCCCATCACTTGCTAACCTCAATAGAATAAAACTGAACAGCAAGCAATGCCGGATTTACAGAGTAAGAGTAAATGATTTGGAAGCTGCATTTATTTACAATGATCCAACTTTAGAAGTCTGCCACCATGAATCAAAGCAGTAAGTATGACAGCAGCAATCGTTTAAGTGCTGAAACTAAATGATGGAATGAAAGGATACATCTGAAAGAAAAGGGAGAAATCTCAAGATTTTAGTCAAAAGTGATTTGCTGTTCATCAGATTTAGACCACAGAGTTTTTGCACCTTTGAATGTTAACAATATTGAATTTGAGATAACATGGTGTAGAGCTGGATGAACACAGCAGGCCAAGCAGCATCAGAGGAGCAGGAAAGCTGACGTTTCGGGTCGAGACCCTTCTTCAGAAAATATTGAATTTGCTGTTTTCTTTTAAAAATACCCCAAAAATATTAACTGCTATAATTTCAAAACAGCATTAAGATGTAGCACTTTAAAATACCAATTCACCGGGTGCTTATTAAATATAAAATGCATTATTATTTTGTTTCTCAATACTGACTTGTACTGGAATATAGTTGCTCAGAGCTGGCAGATCAAGTGGCTTCCTTCATGTGAGTCAAGATTGTAATTTGTTGGCGGGCTGTTTTGCTTCAGATGTCAGGCCATCGTAGCCAACCAATATCCTGTTGACATCGAGAGGTCATGGATGTATACTTCCAGCAAGGACCTGCCTAATTATGCCAAAAGCAGAACAACTGCAAAATAGCAGGGTACTATGGTGAAGTACTGCTGATTAGATTGAGATCAAACAGCTAAACTTTCTTGGATGTGAAATAGCCTTAGTTTACTTTATAATATGATCTTGACCTTAATATGGCACGATACCATCAGATCCATCTCAGGTGGCAAAATAACTTTTGTGAATGGGAGCAGGAATTTATTAAGGGACTTTGACAGCCTAATGGGACAGGCATAATTATGGAATGTCAGAATATACGGAAGTTTGGATTTGATAAAATAATTCAGATATTTACTAGGATGTGCAATGCAGGGACCAAGATACTGATGTACACAAGTTAGTGAAAGTTAGTATTTATGTACAAAAAGGCACACACAGTATTCACTTTTATATCTCGGGGTTTGGAATTCAAAAGTGACACAAGATTCTACAGTTCTGCAGAGTCTTGTACAGATTCCATCTAAAGTATTGGGTTCAGACTTGGGCACTAAACATGAGGCTATATATTGGGTTTCAGAATGGGTACTTGTAGATTCAGCAGAACTATATTAGCCCTAAAGGATTAATTGAAATCAGTTATAATAAACATGGCTTGTTTAGATTAAAACAAATTATTTTCACCGGTGAAGGAATTTAGAACGAGGAGTTGTGACCTTAAAATTTGCTTAAGGTTATTTAGAAGTTAAATCTGCTTGTGCATTTTCTCTCTCAGATGGAAATCCAGAAACTGTTTCCTCCAGGGACAGTTTCTCCATGCAGCACTGGCTACCAGATAAACTAAAAGTTGAGGAGTAAGATTGGTACTAGTCAAGTTAGAGTATTGGAACATAGAGTTGGCGTACAGATCTACCATAAGCTAACAAAATATTGGCACATGTTTGATGGGCAAACAACATATTGGTTTATCCTTTTGAAAGAAATAATTTAGATAGAAAAGGTGACCTGATAAAATGACTTGTGGTAAAACTATCAATGAGCGTAATGTTTTTTCTGTCATTTGTGTTTTTCTTGTACTGTGAATAGATAAGAAAAAAACTTGCATTTATGTCATTTTTCATAACCATTCGATATTTCAAAGTGCTCTACTGCCAGTGAAATATTTTTGAAAGTACTGTTACAGATACAGCGTAGGAAGTACAGCAGCTAACGTGTACTTGACGAAGTCCCGCAAATAGCAATGCGATAATTTTAGGATAATCATTTTTGTGATGTTGAATGGGGGATCAATATTGATTCGGACGCAAGGGGTGACTCCCTTGCTCTTTTTCAAAATAGTGCAATGGGACATTTTACATCTATCAAAATAGCCAGATGGACTTTGGGTTAATGTCTTGTCTGAAAGATGCCACCACTGAGAGTACACTGCTTCCTTAATACAGTACTTGAACGTCATTCTTGATTTTTGTACTCAAAATAATTGGAATGGGGCTTGAACCTGGAAACTGAGACTCAGAAGCACAATGTCATAACTAAACAGCACTGACTCTAAAAATACAAGTTGTGCCCTTCGCTTCCCAAAATCAGCAAAACATGATTAATAATGAGATTAGTTGGTAATTGCTGTAAATAAAATTGATGCTCCATCATTTGATCATAAGATAGGAGCTTGTGGGCTAGATTTAATTCCAAAAGTAGACAATTTAGCCGATTGGGACTGTTAAAATATGGAATACATCAATTTTCTTTCTTCCCTTGGATTTTAGGCGGAATCTTAATTATTTTTCCAATGCCTACGCGGCAGCAGTCAGCGCAGTTGACCCAGACACAGGAAATGGAGAGCTGTGCATCAAAGTCCCATCTGAACTATGGAAACATGTTGATGGTAATTATAAACGCACACTGCAGAGCATAAGTGTTCAGGATACAGTCACCTAATGTTTCAGGCAATCAGTTAGAACCTCTGAGATTGCCACACAAGGATTTGAATTCAAAGTTATGAAATTGATTTTAGTGAAACTACCAACTTATGGACTAGTAAACAAGTTAGAGTCATGCAGCACGGAAACAGACCCTTTGGCCCAACTTGTCTGTGTCAACCAGGCATACCAATCTGACGTAGTCCCATTTGCCGGTGTTTCGCCCATATCTCCCTAAACCCTTCCTATTCATACACCCATCCAGATGCCTCCACCACTTCCTCTGACAGCTTGTTCCATACATGCACCACTCTCTGTGTGTAAAAGTTATCCCTCGGGTCTCTTTTAAATCTTTCCCCTCTCACCTTAAACCTATGACCTCTAGGTTTGGATTCTACCACCCTAGGAAAAAGACCCTGGCTATTCACCCTATCCATGTCCCTCTTGATTTTATAAACCTCTGTAAAGTCGTCCCTCAGCCTCCAATGCCTTAGGGAAAAAGCCTCTGCCTATTCATCCCCTCCCTGTAGCTTAAACCTTCCAGTGCTGGCAACATCCTTGTAAATCTTTTCTGAACCCTTTCAAGTTTCACAGCAGAGTAGTAGGCGATAGCCTAGTGGTATTATCACTGACCTATTAATCCAGAGACCCAGGTAATGTTCCAGGGACCCTGGTTCAAATCCCGCCACATTCAAATTCACTAAAAATCTGGAATTAGTGATGGTCATGAATCCGTTGTCGATTGTCGAGAAAAACCCATCTGGTTCATTAATGTCCTTTCGGAAAGGAAATGTGCCATCCTTACCTGGTCTGGCTTATATGTGAATTCAGACCCACAGTAATGTGGTTGACTCTGAACTGCTCTCTGGGCAGTTAGGGGTGGGCAATAAATGCTGCCTAGCTGGTGATACCCTCATCCCATGAATGAATTTTAAAAAAAAACTCACTAAAGAAGGGCGACCAGAATTGAACGCAGTATTCTACTGAGAGTGGCAGGGGTGTGGAATGCATTGCCGGAGACAGTAGTGGAGTCGGCCTTGTTAGGGGCATTGAAGCGGCTACTAGATAGGCATATGGATGATAGTATAAGATTGCAGTGGAGGTTAGATAGACCTTAGGTTTAGGGTAAAACTTCGGCACAACATTGTGGGCCGAAGGGCCTGTATTGTGCTGTACAGTTCTATGTTCTATTCTAAAAGTGGCCTCACCAATGTTCTATACAGCCGCAACATGACATCCCAATCCTATTCTTAATGTTCTGACCAGTGAAGGAGAGCATGCCAAATTCTACCTTCACCACCCTGTCTACCTGTGACTCCATTTTCAAGGAACTATGCACCTGAACCCCTCGGCCTCTTTGTATAGCAACACTCCTCAGGACCCTACCATTAACTATATAAATCCTGCCCTTGTTTGCCTTACAAAAATGCAGCACCTCACATTTATCTAAATTAAACTCTCTGTCACTCCTCAGACCATTGGCGTATCTGATCCAAGTCCTGTTGTACTCTGAGGTAACCTTCTTCACTGTTGACTACACCACTTATTTTGATGCCATCTGCAAGCTTACTAACCATGCCTCTTTTACTCACATCCAAATCATTTATATAAATGGTGAAAAGCAGTGGACCCAGCACCTGCCCTTGTCGCACTCTGCTGGTCACGGGTCTCCAGTCTGAAAAGTAACCCTTCACCACCACCCTCTGTCTCCTACCTTCAAGCCAGTTTTGTACTATTAAAAATAAAACAACTTTTCTGAGAAGAACCTGCCACTTCATCCAGTCTACCCTGTTCGTGGCTGCAACCCAAACTGTACAGTTGACTCCTAATTCCTTCAGAGCAACTTGGGATGTGCACTGTACTTTGCCTTACCAGTATTGTCCAAGTATCAGGAAAAAGTACTTTTAAAATTAATCCAAGAGCAAAATTTTTCTGTATGTATACGCATGAATCATTGGTGAAAATTGTTTGTGTAGTATTAATTCTGACATTTTAAAGTGGCAGACCAGAAAATGTTGTGTCTTCTTTTGTTCCAGGTGTGGTCCCAATGCTCATTCACGTTATACGATTATATGCCCCTCTTAATCTGTGAAGTGAGAAACCGCATTGCTATAATGCATACTTATGAAGAAAATAGCATGGTGTTAAGTGGGTGCATGTTGACATAGCCATCTTAATATTGTGTCATCCACAAACTTGGCTATAATGCACTTCCCTCATCTCAGTGCCCCCCACCCCGATGTCTTATCCTAATTCTCCTAGAAGTCATACAGCATAGAAATAGGCTCTTCAGCACATCATGCTGACTAACAGGCACCAAACTATACTAATCTTATTTATGTGGTCTTCGTCCCTACTATGCCCAATTTTAAGTGGATGGCCAGATGTTTCTTAAAATGTTGCAAGTGTACCTTCCTCAACCACTACCTCAGGTTGCACGCCCCATTATTTCTACCATCCTCTGGGCAAAATTTTTTTTCTCCAATCTTCTCTAAACCACTTAAACTTATGCCCTCTGACTCCAGACACGTCTACTATGGGGAAAAGATTCTCGCAATCTACCCTATCTATGCCTCTCATAATTTGGTATGTCTCAGTCAGATCCCACCCCCCTCAGCCTTCCCTGCTCCAAGGAAAACAAACCCAGCCTCCCCAGTCTCTGTTCATAACTGAGACTTTCCACTGCAGGCAACATTCTGCTGAATCTCCAATGCACAGTCTCCAGCGCAATCACGTCCTTCCGATAGTGTAGCAACTAGAACTGCTCACAATATTCCATCTGTGGCCTAACCAATGCTTTATAATGTTGCAAAGGACTTCCCTACTATTTTTATTGTGTCCAGGTTAATTAAGGCAAGTCACGTTCACCATCCTGTCTGCCTGTGGTGACATCTTCAGAGATATATGGACTTGTACACCAAAGCCCATTTGTTCCTCAGTACTCTCTCAAGACCTACCATTCATTGTGTAAATCCTTTTATTAGACCTCCCAAAATGCATCACCACTCACTTATCAGGATTAAATTCCATCTGCTATTGTTGTGCCCAGTTCACAAGCTAATCAATATCCGACTGTAGCAAGAGACCATCCTCCTCACTGTCAACAATACCCCCAATGTTCATGTCACATCCAAGTGGTTAAAGTACGAAACAAACAGCAAGGGTTCCGGCAGTAATCCCTGTGGTGCACCGCTGGTCCAATCTCAAAAACAAACTGCATCATCACTCTCTTCTCCTATGTGCAGTCCAGATTTGAATCCAGTTTGCCAACTTGGATCCCATGGGGCCTTATCTTTTTGGACCAGCCTTTCATGTGAGACCTTGTCAAAGGCCTTACTGAAACCCATATATATCACGTGACCTGTAGGACTGCCAATCTTCTAACGATGCTAATATACTACCTCCAACATCATGGGCTCTTATTAAGTAGCCTAACGCATATCAAATGTCCTCTGGAAATCCAAATATATTGCGTCAATTGCTTCCCCTTTAAATGTCCTGTTTATTACTTCATCAAAGAATTCTAGTACATTTACCAGGCATGATTTCCATTTCATGAAGCCTTGCTGACCCTGCTTGATTGTATTATATTGTTAAAGACTGTGCTATTAGAACCTTTGTAATTGGCTCCAACAATTGCCCAATAGCTGATGTTAAGTGAACTGCCCTGAAGTTACCTTTGTTTTGTCCTTTACTTTTTGAATAAAGATGTTAATTAGCACATCCAATCCTGTAGCACTTTTCCAAGATGTAAATAATTGACAAAATATACAGTGGAGGTGGACTGAAACTGGAGGAAAATGTTTCAACTGAGTTATTTTGATCTGGACTACATTGCCTGAATATACATTAGAATGAAACTTGATAGTGAATATGAAAGAGGTTATGGAATGGAGAACTTTGTAGTACTGTACTATAGGAGCGGGAGATTGGAGTTGAAAAGCATTCTCAATGGCTTGACACTAACATGTTTGGTAGAATGCCGTCTGTCCATGCGGTATGATTCCGTGTCAGCTTGGCTCAAATAGTGCAACTCTCAGATTTGAGTGAAACACTTCTGGCTTTGATGCCACTCACAAGAATTGATTTCCTAATTGATGGCACATTATTGAAAGTGCCATCTTTCAGAAGATATGTTAAACTCAGGGCTAGAGTGCTTAAATTGGTTAATGTGAAAGAAAATGTGGTGCTGCCACCTTGGTTACAATGTATCCCACGAACAGCATTACCATGTGTAGATGAGCAGAGGATTTATCTAATTTACGGGACCTTGTGTGCACATTGATTGTTACATTGCCTATATAATTTCATGGTTGAACTTCAAAAGTAATCGATTGGCTGTGAAAGCAAAGGAGCAGTCAGAATGTTTGCACTCACCTAATTGATCTTGCCAAATATAAAATAAAAACACGGCCAGCGTTCTTGCATCTCGGCTGAAAAGCATTTTACTTTGAATTTAATCCATGTTTGCTTATTAGCAGTTGAAATGATCTTTCAGTAAAGGGGCACAATTTCACTAAGAATAGATTAATATATATTGCTCCCATATACGATGGTCTGGTGTCACAGTGGTTAGTATTGCCTCGTAGTGCCAGGAACCCAGGTTCGATTCTCGCCCCATGTCTGTGTGGGTTCCAACCTTTGCTGCAGTTCCCCCCCACCCCCACAGTCCAAAGATCTCAAGTGGATTGACGATGTTAAATTACCCAGTAGTGTGCAGGGTTATGTAGTGAGACAGACTTACGATGGTAAATGTAGGGTTATGGGGATAGGATGCTATTCAGTGGGTTGGTACAGACTCAATGGGCCAAATGGCCTCTATCTGCACTGCAGGGATTCTGTGGTTCTATAATTATAAAAAAGAATTTTCATTTCATCTACTGTGACCAGTGCCATTAGACTTAATTTTATATTCAATGTAGTATCTTTAGCATGCATTTCTTATCAATTAAATTTTGCACTTTAAAGGCAGGCCAGTTGCATTGCATACAACCCGATATCCAATTAATCTTTTAAAAACAAAAACAAGGATTTTGACTTGGTCGCTACTAATAGAGATGGTGAGCAATTGCTTTTTATTTTGTTCTTTTGACTCGATTGATGGCCTTTTCCTCAAGGAAAGGAGTCACAGTACAATGAATATAGAGTATCGTCCAAATAATAATTGTTTTCTGTTTGATCCTGGGCGTATATTATTCTGATTATCGTGCTACATGAAGTGTCTAAACTGTGATGTGAAGGCAAGTTCAGGTGGACAGTGCTTTAGCACAGTTACCACTTAAGGTGCAATCTTTTGTCATTGTGTATTAATGTGTTATGTAAAAATGTTTGTTAATTATACTGAATGTTGTAATCCACAGTTGTTTAATCATGCACTGTCCACTTTGTGTTTGGCATTATTAGAGATGAAAGTTTTGAAGGTATATATCGAATTTTCCTTGGACCAGCCAAAAGGAGGGCTTCATTTTGTTGTGCCCAATATGGAAGGTAGCATGGCTGAGCGAGGTGCACATGTCTTTTCCTTTGGTTATGAAAACTCTACAAGGTGAGTAAGTAAATTTTTTCGAATAAATTATTCTAATACTTTTATGCAAGGGCATTTTTTAAAGCTTGAATAATGGTTATAGAATTACAAATTAATACAGTTTAAAAGCATGTTGTTTGGCTCATCATGTCTGTGCAGTCTCTTTGAAAGAGCTAAATAGTTAGTCCCACTCCTTTGCACTTTTATCATACCTCTCCAAAGTTTTCCAGTTCAAGTATTTAGGCAACTCCTTTCTGAAAGTTATTTAATCTGTTTCTACTACCCTTTCGGATCATAATGCATTCTCCTCATCTTGTCTTGCAAATAGATCAAATTTGTGTCTTCTGGTTATTGACCTTTCTATCACTGATAATGGATATACCTATTTCATTATTATCAATGCCCTTTAGAAATTTTAATGCCTGTATTAAATCTACCTTTTTTTATTTAAAATGACAATTAAATGGTTATACTTGAGTAAATTGCAAAATGTGGTTTTAAGCTATGAAAAGTCTTTTGCTGTGGGGGGGAGTAGACTGCGATACTTGGGGGAAGGCGATGTGGAACTACTTGATTTGCAGGGTTGAGACTTTTGAGCTTGTGATCCACCAGCATTGGGTTGCAATCCACAATTTGGGGTTTCCTGGAAAAGATGCTACAGTTTGGGAAAGGAGAGCATTGCAGTTGATGCAGTGAATTCTGTGTTGAGTAAATTTTAGTCTTTGAACTATTTGAAGGGAAGAGGATCTTGACAGGATCTTGACTTTCGACAGCTTATGCTTTTTGTTTGTCATTTGTAGATTTTGGTTTCCTTGTGTTGATTCTTATTCTGAGCTTTGCACTTGGAAATTGGAGTTCACGGTCGATGCTGCCATGGTGGCAGTTTCCAATGGAGATTTGGTGGAATCTGTTTATACCAATGACATGAGAAAAAAAACTTTTCATTACATGTTGACTATTCCAACGGCAGCACCAAACATTTCTCTTGCTGTCGGTCCTTTTGAAATACTGGTTGATCCTTACATGCATGAGGTAAGTTGGACAAAACTGTATTTGGTTTGACTGTTTTGTTCTCTGTTTTTATTCCCGTATTTTATACTCAAAAGCACAGCAATGGCTTGAATTTTAATTATATTTACTGCTAAATGTTTTCAGTGTTAGTAATTGGAATTTAATGAATAATTTAAATTGCTTTATTTAACACATGTAATGTACACAAATAATGTATTAGTTAAGCTTGTGCAAATGTTTTAATTCACTCCTGAAAGTTACTGACTGGGCAAACATGAACTTTTGTAAATCAATCCAATCAACAGGAAATCAATTAGCAGGAAAATTTAAAAAAAAAAAAATTATTACTTTCCCAGCTCGGTGATTTCATTTCCAATTGATATGATTGATTGATTGATTGTATCGGTGACTTCAGAGAGTTAGGTGGATAACATCAGATAAGAAATTTTCTACGCCATGCCCAGGCCTGGCAGAGTGAAGTGATATTTTATAAATCTGCCTTTGAAATAAGGAGCACTTAAAAGCTACTACACCTTAATCCTACTTAATGATTCCCATGAACTCCTAAAAATGTGTAATAAAGGTCACCATTTATGAAATAAGCTCTAAGTGTCATGTTTTTGGATATTTGTCATATGACAATAAATTCAATTATTATAGCAGAAATTTTAACTTAAAAATAATGTACATGTAATGGTGAAGAAAAACACTCAGATTTTCAGACAGCGCAGTATGAAACACACTTTCACAGTTTGTTAGCAAAATGTGTCCGAATTATAATGACACTTTTTTTTTGGACAGTAAACTTTATCTGCATGACTGCTGAAGTTTATGTCAGTTTAGTGGTATGGGTGGTTATGGCTGTTTTCGTGGTGACTGCTGTTGTATTGATTGTATAATCTAAAGTCGCCATTGGATGAGTTTATATGATGCTGTTTGTTTAATTCAAAAATACTGTCACATGCTGCTGTGTAATTTGTTTTTTCTTACTAGGGTGTATTATGTTTGAAGTGCTGCTGTTAAGATAATGGTTTCCTTCAGGTTCATGTCATCATTGATTGTCAGTAAAGTACAGAATAGTGAAATACTGACTTAATGTGAAAGATTTGGATCTCCTACAGGAACTTTGTGAAGATTGTTTTATGAGCTTTGATTTATGCAGCCTTTCCTATTAAGGAAATCATTATTAGTTTCAAGTATTTATGAACTAATCGTTGCTCCAGTCCTCTATCATTCTAGGATTAAATTGTTATGTTTAAAGAAAACATTCATGTTATGCCATCTGTAGAACAAACAGTTTTAGCCTCCCGTTCAAGAAAGACAAACTTAACTTTTTAAAATTCTGGTGATAAACGTGTATGATAATTAACATGCTGCATTGTAGTTCATTTTATTTATTAATGTTTTTATTCAATAACCTTAAGTTGAGTTTGTTTGATTTTGTTTTAATGCTATTTGCCTATTAAAAGCTACAAATTGCCTTCCCTCATAAAACTTTATCTACTGTTATTTTCGTTCATATGTTTTTACGGCTTAAAATGTTGCTACTCATGACTTTGAAACTGGTCTAGACATTAAATTGTTTAGCAAAAACATTTTAATTCAAAGAATTCATTGCAATAACTTAACAGTGCAACGTGAAACGTCATCTGTTTTTACCACTGTTAGATCAGGATGTGTTGATTGTAGTGTCCGTATTAGAAAAATGTGTGTGCTTCTATTGAGTTTGAATTGGTTACTTGCTGAGAGTAGATTAGCTTCTAGACAGGCCAAGAAATGTCCTATCTCTTGTGTTCTGATGCTCCCAAATAGAAATGTCTCAGTTCTTGCATGTTGCAAATTGCATCTTTAAAAGTGCTATAATTGAAAAAATACACATGGGGGCAGCAACGTGTGATATGGATGATTTAAACTGAACAATGCTGTTCTGCAAGCACTTTAGGGCAATGCGTGCTAGATGATCATGATATGACATGAAAACTTAATACCTTTGTTTTGAAAGTAGCCATTTATCATGTGATCTGTTTTAAGACTGAACAGAAATATTTGGAAATAATTGCCCAGATTACAGACATCCAAAATATTTAGAAATGACACTAGTGCATATTTCTTCATCCAACATTTTAAGTTCTGCAATGTCTTATAAATACTAACGTTCAAAAAGACTTGGGTGTCCTTAGCTAGAGATGTCCACATCCCATGAGTGAATATTAAAAAAAACAGACACTAAGGAAGCTAGCATGCAAGTACATCAAGCAATTAGGACGACAAATGGCATATTGACCTTTGTTGCAAAGGGATCAGAGTACAGGAATAAGTCCCCGTACAATTGTACGGGACTTTGATAAGACCACATCTAGATACTATGGTCTCCATATTTAGGAAATGTTATACTTGGCAATGAAGAGAGTAGTCTGAAGGTTCACTAGACTGCACTCTTTGGAATGTCAGAGTTGTCCCTTGTTGAGAAGTTGAGTAAATAGGGCCTTTATTCCCTAGAGTTTAGAAGAATGAGTGGTTATTGAATTGGTTCTGAACAGGCTTGGTAGGGCAGATGCTAAAATGTTGTTTTGGCTGGCTAGCAAATTTACTACACTCGGATATGGGGGTGGGGGGGGGGGGGGGGGGGCGGGGGGGGGGGCGCGGGGTGAAATGAGGGTGATCATTTAGGATTGAGATGAGAAATTTCTTCACTTGAAAGGTTGTAATACTTCAACTTGGAAGGTTTAGGATGCTCCCTTATATTTAAGACTGAGATTTTGGTCTTTTTGGGCATCAAGGAATATGAAGACTGGATGGCATTCTACTGATGGTGCCGTACTGACCTAAATGGAGGAGCTGGCTTGATGGCCTGAATGGTTTACTCTGATCACTTGTGCACCCAAACACAAACGACTTGTTTTGCAATGCTGTATTTTAACCTAACTGTAAATTGAATATTGTTTACCAGAAATCCACACAAAATTTCTTCTACGTTAAAGTGAAATCTGATGCCGTTTCTGGCTAAGTACAAAATTTGTTTGACTAAAATTGAATCATATGGAATTAATTCCTTGCAATGGGAGTTATATGCAGGACAAAACTTGATATATTAATGATTTTAACCTAAAATGTTGATTTATTGAAATGAAGTAATGTTTCATTTTCTGATGCCTCCTTTTCCAGGTGACACATTTTTGCTTACCTCAACTATTGCCTCTCCTAAAACACACCACCTCCTTTCTGCATGAAATTTTTGAATTTTATGAAGAGATTCTAACCTGCCGATATCCCTATGCCTATTACAAAACTGTATTTGTTGATGAAGCTTATGTAGAAGTAGCTTCATATGCATCTATGAGTATTTTAAGGTGAGTCTCCATTTGGAAAATCCTTTTGTTCAGAGGTGTTAAATGATCTTTTCCCACAGTGGGCTGCTTGAAATGAGATTTTCAGGCTGCTTTCAAACATTTGTTAGCTGCAAGTTCACATAGAAAAGCCAGAAGCTTATGAGCAAAGTGTTTGCCTACTTTAAACTAGGTTTTGATGCAGGTGGCTGGGAGAACTGTAAAATAAAAAGGCATAAATATTTTAAAACTACCGTTTGACAGTTCAAGAAGCAGTTTAAATTTTTAAATGGAGCACCCAAGTCACCTTGTGCATTTATTGGTGAAGTGACATTTCCCCCAAAAGAAATGCCGTTTGTGTCCAAGGATCACTGGCTTAAGCCACGCCTTACTGAATAAGCTGATCTTTAATAGTGCAGTAATAGAGGGCTCAAAAGCCCGGGTTAAAACTTTAGATTGCGAGCTGGAAAAATTGGCAGAGGGTGAGGGGCATCAGAATATGTCCAGGTCCTTTCCTGATGATGACTGAGACACTGAGTAGTAATTAGGAGCAGAAATCCTGGATTTTCTTAACTGAGGTATACTGAAACAATTGCAGTCCTATACCACTGTCTCAATTATGATCAGCTAACTGGGCACCTCTCACAGACTGAACCAATGATTTTTCTTCTCCGTGGAACGGGAGAGGGTGTTTAATGAATTGGGCCATCAGTGTAAGTCTGCTTGTAAAGCTTTGAGAGAGTTAAATTTGAATGAGACCCAAATTTCAGGTTAGTTTTTTAGGCCCTTTGAATGGAAGTCAAACACTACAGTTCTACCTCCCAACCAGCAATTAAAGTTATGCTCAAATTTCTTAAAGTAGAAACTTATATTCAAGCCATCTAAGTAAATGTACAAAGATGAAGAGAAAATGTAGTCTGACTACGGGTGAATCTGTCCCTGGAGAGGACTGAAGTCATGGTTAGTATTTAAATGTTATCAAACTAAAGTTTCAAGTTTTCTTAGTAATCTCAGGGAAAAAAAAAAAGATAAATGCTGAGCTTCAATTTGATTTTCAGTTTAAGAAATTAATTCCTCAATTTGTAATTCAGCCAAATGGGTAACAGTTATCAGTTAAAAATAATGGCTTAATTTTATTTGTTTTTAAACAAAATTTGAATGTTATGCCAATTCACTTAATAGCTGAGGTCAGATATGCCTGGGGCACTTACCGTGCAGCAAAATGTACTGTAAGCCCTGTTTCAGAGTTTTTTTTTTTAAAACCATTTGTTTCTTGACTGTTGAGGGGGACATTTTCCATGAGTGCTTCTTGCCTTGCTACCTCATCCAAGTGGTCACCATTCCACAAGCATAGATCCTAACTTCAGTCATGTCACACATCCATCCAGAGGTTGAGCTGCAGATGATTTTTCCTTGTTTTTCCATTTGACGCTGTGGCTAGATGCATTGAAATCAGTAAATTTGTCACAAACTAAAGACAGAAATAGAGGTCTTTGTATCCTCAATGACTCACTGCCACAATCTAAGGTTTTGGAGTAGATCTGTAGCTGTGGTTGTGGGTGTTGAGGTTGGTTGGCTCGCTGAGCTGGTTTGTTGTTCCGCAGACATTTCATTACCGTGCTTGGTAATATCCTCCGTGCAGCCTCTGATGAAGTGTCGGTGTGTTTTTCCACCTGGTTTTTAAACTCTGTGGTCCGTTGCAATGGATTGCCTCACTTCCGGCTTTCCTCCGTAGTGGAATGTATATGGGGTCGAGTTCAATGTGTTTATTAATAGCATGCTTCCAGGAATTCTCGTGCTTGTTTCTGCCTAGCCTGTCCCAGGATCTTGGTGTTGTCGAAGTCGTGGTTCTCCTTGTCCATGTGGATTGAGATGAGTGAGTATTGGTCATGTCTTTTTGCAGCCAGTTGGTGTTTGTGTACTCTTGTTGTTAGTTTCCTTCCTGTTTGTCCGATGTGGTGTTTCTCGCAGTCTCTGCAGGGGATCTTGTAGACACCATTGGTCCTGTCCATGGCGGCGAATGGGTCTTCAGTTCAGGTGAGCACTTGTCGTAGGGTTGATGTGGGCTTGTGTGCCACTCTGATGCCCAGCGGTCGTAGAAGACTTGTGGAGAGTTCTGATGTGTTCCTCATGTACGAGTACGCCAAGAGGAGGAGGAATACCTCTTCCAAGTGTTCAAGGATAATGGATATCCAAAGAACTGGGTCAGGAGATGCCTACAGGAACAGCATCAGAAAGATTCTACATGCCCCGACACACTCATCAGGAGCACGTCAGAACTCACCGCAAGACTTCTACGACCGCTGGGCATCAGAGTGGCACACAAGCCCACATCAACCCTACGACATGTGCTCACCCAAACTAAAGACCCACTCCCTGCCATGGACAGGACCAAGGTCGTCTACAAGATCCCCTGGAGAGACTGCGAGAAACACTACATCGGACAAACAACCAGAGTACACAAACACCAACTGGCTACAAAAAGACACGACCAATACTCACTCATCTCAATCCACGTGGACAAGGAGAACCACGACTTCAACTGGGACAACACCAAGATCCTGGGACAGGCTAGGCAGAGGCAAGCGCGAGAATTTCTGGAAGCATGGCACTCCATGAAGCATGCTATTAATAAACACATTGAACTCGACCCCATATACATTCCAGTATGGAGGAAACCTGGAAGTGAGGCAATCCATCGCAACGGACCCCAGAGTTTAAAAACCAGGTGGGAAAACACACCGACGCTTCATCAGAGGCTGCACTAAGGATGTTAACAAGCACGGTAACGAAACGTCTGCGGAACAACAAACCAGCTCGGTGAGCCAACCAACCTCATCATTGCCGCAATCACTGAATAACCTCAGCGAAGATGCAAAAATAGGTGGAGGCACAGGTAGTGTTGAGGAAGCGGGGAGGCTGCAGAAGGACTTTAGACTGAGTGGGAAAGTAGGAAAAGAAGTGGCAGATGGAATACAGTGTGGGAACGTGTGAAATTATGCACTTTGGTAGGAAGAATAGAGCTGCAGACTATTTTCTAAATGGGGAAAGGCTTGTGAAATCTTAAACACAAAGATGCTTGGGAGTTTTACTTTAGTATTCTCTTAAGGGTAACATGCAGGTTCGCTTGGTAGTTTGGAAGGGAAATGTAATGTTAGCATTTGTTGCAAGAGGACTAGAACAGAAAGTGGAGATGTACAGGCTCAGCAGTACAAGGCTCTGGTCAGACTGCATTTGGAATATTGTGAGCGGTTTTGGGCCCTGTGTCAAGGGAAGGATGTGCTGGTGTTGGAGGGGGTCCAGAGGAACTTTACAAAAATGATCCTAGGGATGAAGGGCTTGTCATTTGGAGCAGTTGAAGATTCTGGGTCTGTATTCAGTGGAGATTTGAAGGATGAGGGGTGATCTCATTGAAACTTACAGAATACTGAAAGACCTGGATGAGTGGATGTGGAGAAGATGTTTCCACTAGTAGGAGAGACTAGGGCACAGCATCAGAGTGAGGGGACACCCTTTAGAACTGAAATGAGGAATTTCTTGAGCCAGAGGATGCTTAATCTGTAGAACTATATGCTGCAGAAAGCTATGGAGGCCAAGTCATTGAATGTATTCAAGACAGAGATAGATATGTTCTCGAATAATAAGACGGTCAAGGGCTCTGGGGAGAAGGCTGGAATTGGAGTTGAGAAAATATCAGCCACGATCGAATAGCAGAGCAGACTTGATGGGCTGAATGGCCTAATTCTGCATCTATATCACATGGTTTTCTGGACTTGGCTCAAATCTTTGTGCATTTGTATGATATACTAGTCTCCAGCTTTTTACGAGGAAGGATATTGAGCCGTAAAATAGAGCTATGCTGGGCTCGCTCGTTTTGGAAAAAGCAGTTTATATAGAATGAACAAATTCAATCGACCAATTTGATAAGTAGGTTATAGTGTACTGGGAGAATATGAATTTGTTTTACTTTTTGCCTACGGAATGATGTATGCAATTAATTAAACACAGAGCAGAAAATGATTATTACAGTTCAGCTGACTAACGACATCACTGCATAATGAAGCATCAAACATATTATTTGTGCTGTTTCATCTGTAACTCGCAAAAAGATCATTTTGACAACTGATTAGTGTTTCTGTTATAAATTCATAGTAGTTGATATACTGATTCCAGATTTTGAGTGCTTTTAAAATAGTTTGTGCTCATTGCCAGTCCTTGTTGTTTGTGGTCTCTAATAGCTGAAAAGCCCTCGTGCATTTGTTCTTAACTAACGTACAGTTGATTAATGAATTTTTCAAAACATTGAATTTGCAACAGCTAAACAACTGCCAATTATTATGTGATTATTGTACAGTGTAAGTTTAAAGAATGAATATGAAAGGGCTGGCAGGCTTCACGCTTTCAGTTGACAAAGTACAGAGTCAGCCTTGTTAACATTTGAACTGAATTTCTGTCACCTTTTAAAACACTATTTGTTTTGACTAAATAAAATCTAGTGCTTGCCTGAAAATGTGGTCTATTTTCTCGTCTTTCATTTAGCACAAACCTTCTGCACAGTGCCATGATTATAGATCAGACGCCACTTACCAGACGATGTTTAGCACAAGCTTTGGCTCAGCAATTCTTTGGCTGTTTCATTTCCAGAATGTCATGGTGAGTATATAAAATGGTGAGAGACAAGGGCATGTACCTTCGTATGTATACTATATTGAAAATTTTATATAGACTTTTCTAGCACAACAAAAACTTTAGAAACAAAACTTTCCATTCTGAGGAAGGCTCCCTGGACCTGAAAAGTTAACTCTGATTCTTTCTTCACAGATGCTGCCAGACCTGTTGAGCTTTTCCAGCAACTTCTGTTTTTGTTCTTAAAAACTTTAGAAAGTTTATTATAAAAATCATAATGGATAAGGTGTCTGAAATTAGGATCAATATCAGCTTGATTGAGTTGATGACATACCTGCCTCAGAGACCAAATGTTATTTGTAGCCCTTCTCCCATCTCACCCACTCCCCCAATCCTGTATATCACAGTAGCAGCAAGGAGGTACTAGAATTAAAGTCTTGCCTGCCTGCTCAAGTGAATGGAGCAATGGCAAAGCAATTTTCAAAGTAGTTCTGGAAATACTCCTGTTCTAATGTTATTGGAAAGTGCCTGCACTGAGAGAAAGAGATAATATATCGGGTTAATGACCTGAAGGTTCTGAAGCTTTACTTGTGACAAATTATTGCAAATGCTTTCAGATGATTTTGCATCTCGCACTTCAACAGTCTTTGAAGTCTCCGAACTGGGTTTAAACATTTACATGCATGGTGATATCTCATGTATACCGCTTGTTGGCCTATCCTTTTTTCCTGTATAATTTGTTTTATTATTTTTTTCCAATATTGACTGCCATTGCTAACAAAAATTGACAACTCGACCATTTTCAGGCAACTGCCAGCAGTGCAATTTAGCTGGATGAGAGTGACTTGGTGATTTACCCTGCTTTTATTCATTATTGGAAAACCTTGTTTCTGCATTGTGCCTTCCCATAGCAATGACTAAAATGAAAAACTTGCCATTTGTGGTTCACAGGAGCATGTTTGGATCCCTATTCTGTGGTGGTACGTATGTTCAAGTTTTAGTATGTAAAATGGCTGTCATCCCTGCAAGTACTAAAGCTGTGCGTTGACCTTGTCCATGACTGGGCAAAGTGATGAACTCACTGCTGCAGTTGAGTTGTTTGATAGCAGCTCTGTTTGTATCTACTGAATGTTTATACAGTTTACAGATGTAACACGGTAAATAATCATTCTGAATGTATGAAATCACCCAAAACTGACAAAAATATTTTCATCCAAGACTATATAAGGAAAGAGTATGGCATACAATGACTACTAGTATTTCCCTTAAGTTTACAAAAATGTGTATCTTCAACAAAGAGGGATTCTGTTGAAACAGACTGTGCTTTGTCACCAGGCATGTTAAAGAAAATTTAGATGGATTATATGTTCAGTCGATAATTGAAGAAATTAGGACTTTTAATCTAAGATGATTGCCTATGATTAATTTTGGTTGAATGTTTGCATGGAGGATAAGGGAAGAATTTTCCAGTAAGCATGTGTCTAAATACAGATGCGCTCAGGCAGGAAACATACATTTGGAAAACTGCAAAGGAAATTGAATACTGAATGGGTTAATTGACATGAAACAAAGGCTATTTGTGATAGAGCGTGTGTTATGTATTGAGGATAAAAATGACATGGAGAAATAATTTACAGATTATAATTATGTAGCCAGTCTTGACGTGGAATAATTTGTGGTTCACAGGACTCCAACTAAAATCAAGTATTACAGCAAATGAGTTTTGTCTTTAAAATCTGTTATCTTTTCAGTCTTATGCCACCTGGAATCCACATGTGCTAAATCTGTAATACGTCATGTAAAATGGTTACTTAATAGCTTCGCCTTGTATATGATGCAAGGGCTGCATGGGAAAGTGAGCTTCCACTAATCATTGCATTTGATACATTTGTAAACCTGGCATCTGATTAGTTTTCTTCTCAAATTCATGTTAAGTATTCAATTGAAACCTTTTTTATCAGTTTTTTTTTGCATCACATCTGAAGGTTGGGGAGGGCAGCAATATTTTTGAAAATTGGTGTCTTTTGTTGGACTAATTTTAAATTTCTTCATCTGTTAGTGTACTATCTTTCCAACTTTGTTTTTGCAGGTCAGATGAATGGGTGTTGAAAGGGATCTCTGGATACATTTATGGCCTTTGGATGAAAAAGACATTTGGTGTTAATGAATACAGACACTGGATTAAAGAGGTAGTATGAACAAAGCTGTAATCCAATTTAAGAGAACTAGGTTTACTGTAAAAATAGTGCCAACTTTATTGTGAGCAAAGTGATTATTGACACGATGGTGAGTTAATGACCTAGAAGTCAAGTAACATTTGTGGCAGAACGTAGAAGTTAATTTTAAAGCAAACCTGGTCAATTTGAAGTGCTTGTATGAATTACAGCAAATAATTAATGTCTAAATCTACAGCATACTTTCACGACATGAGTACTTTGCCACAAAATGCAGTGTATGAAGGATAGCCACATAATAAAAATCTTGCATGCAGAATTAATCTCTGTCTTTCATGAGTGGTTTCCAGGCAGGCAATATATCCAATTAGTTCCTTTCTGATCAGGTCTTCTGGCATATCTGTCTGCAGCTAATTGTGCATGAGAATCAGATTATTTAACTCAATAAGAACTAGTGTAAAAACATAGCCATATTTTATATGTTTAAGCGCATATGAAATAAGTGCAGGAGTAGATCAGATTGTAGCTAACCTTCTGACTAACTGTACTGTTCTGACCTATCTGCCTATGCATTGATGCATTCACTGTCCAAAAATCTGTATGATTTCAATAGTGTAAATAATTTTTTGTGGGATGTGGCAAGACCAGCATTTGTTGTCCATCCCTGATTGCCTTAAAGAGATGATGGTGAGCTATCTTCTTGAACTGCTGCATGTCAAGTGGTGTAGGTACACCCACAGTGCTGTCAGGAATTAATAAAATGCAAACTGTAAAATTAAAAATTAGCAGTGGCTGTCTCATGTATAGTAGGTATGCCACTGAGCTTAAAAATTAGAAGTCACGAGTTCAAATATAACCATGGTAAATTTTAAATTGAATTCAGTAAATATTGTAATTTATGGACTGGCTTATTTTCATGTCAGTGGCCAGTACGGTGGTATTCTTTTCCTCTCCATACCCATGATAACTTCTTAAAAAGTACTTTTTTAAGAAAATTATTTTTGATGTTGGTACACATAACAAAATTCATTCCTCTTGAGTTGAAAAAGTTAGGGAGAACATGGATTACGAATCTTAAAATTCCAGTGCATGGTGGTAAAGATGTGTACCATTTACAAGATGCACTATGGCAACTTAGCAGGGTTTCTTTGACAGCAACTTGTAAACCTGTGACCTGTACCAACTAGAAAGATAAGAATAGTACACATGGGGTTCAATAAGGACTAGTGGACAGGGCACTTAGGGAGGACATTTCAAAGCTCTGAACCCTGCCACTTAAAAGCACAGCATCAAATGCTTGATGATTCAAAACTGGTATGCAAGAGGCCAGATTTGGAGAATACAGAAAATTTGAACATTATATAATGGTTATAAAGTTAATTATGTGAAGGGATGAGGCCAGGATGAGGTTTGAAAAGGATGAAAAATTTCAAAGCTGAGGACAAAGAGTCAATGCAGCCCAGTGAGCGCAGGGGTGCTGGATGGATGACTTAGTTTTAATGACTGACAGCGGAGTTTTGGATGAATCAATATTTTAAGAGGGTGGAAAATGAGATAACAGCCAAGAGATCATTGTTACCGCCAGACTTAATTATTCCAACGGAAAGAGCTGAATATAATTTAAATGGAGAATGATTGCAGAAAACTGCAGCACAATGTGATTTGTGGGCCCCAGTGCATGAATGATGAAAAGCTAGCATCCAAGTTCTGAGGGTAATCGTGAAGTCATAAGGAATGTTGGCCTTTATTTTATAGGGAATGGAGTATAAAAATAGACAAATCTTGCTAAAACTGTACAAGGCACGAGTCAGACCGCATCCAGAATATTGTAAACACTTTTGGACCCTTTATCTCAAAGGTATTGGAGGGAATCCAGGAAAGAGTCACTTGGCTGATAACAGTTTTGGAAGAACTACCTTATGAGGAGAGGTTGAGTAGGTTGAGCTTGTACTCATTGGAATTTAGATGATGAGAGGAGGCCTTATTGTAATACAGATTCTTAGGTAGCTTGACATGGCAGTTGTGGAAAATTGTTTTCCTCTTGTGTGACAGTCAGGGACCCGAGGACATATAATCTCAGAGTAAGGAGTCATCCATTTAAGATCAAAATGCGGTTTTTTTTTGAGGATGCTGAAACTGAAATTCTTTACTGCTGAAGGCTGTCGAGGCTGCGTTACTAAATATATTAAAAGCTGAGATAGGCAAATTTTTAATTCCTAAGGGAATCAAGGGTGTGGGGATAAGTCACAAAAGTGGAGTTGAAAATGATCAGATCAGTCATGATCTCATTGAGTGGTAGAATAGTCTCAATGGGCCAAATCATTACGTTCTGCTTCTATGCCTTATGGATAAGGGGTGAAGCAAACATGGATGTTTTAAATTTTCGTCAAATGACAAATTTAAATGTTGAAAGATCCAATAAATATGTTTGTAATTTATAGGAACTGGACAAAATAGTGGAATATGAATTAAGAACTGGTGGAGTTCTGCTGCATCCCATATTTACAGGGGTAAAAGAGAAAGAAACGTGAGTGGTGTCTTATTTGTAATTGCCTCGTGTGGTAGTTCCTTATTACTTTTTTCTTTAAAGTCTGTGTTCTCTCCTTGAAATGACTATATCAGTTCAATTTGGTAGTGCCTGATTGTTTACTGGACTACATATAATGGATCCAAGAAAAGCTGGCTTATTGTATGTAGATTTCTGTGAAGCATTTGTGACATTTGTAGTTGCTTTAGTCTGTTTTATCAGTTAACATTGATAATTATGATCGAAAAAGCATAAATCTCTGTTGTGTTTGTTATTGATTTTAGTTTCACATTTTTGGAGCTTTAGAACTAAAATCATTAACACACTGAGTCTCCAAGCTATTATAATCTTAACAGCAATAATTAAGAAACACTATCATGAGGAGGGACAGGCAAGGGGTAGGAGAGGGTGGGAGGGAGAAACATGAGGGGAAGAGTGATGGGGTCGTGGGTTGATGAGTTGCCGGTCGCCGAGGGGAGGGAGTGTTATGGGACGGTGGGGTCATGGGGTTGTAGGTTGCGGGTGGGAGGCAGCGGAAAGAAGGTGCGTCACAAGGCATAAAGAAGACAAATTAGGAAAGCGTCATGGAAGCAATTGTCATGGTAAGAGACTTCGGATGTTAACAGTCAGAGGAATGATGAGGGTGACAAGGAGCAACAACGGTCACTTGATATGGGGTGGTGGGGTAGAGAAAGTCTCTGGGAGGATGGCTGTCAAGGGTCTCCGCGTTGCACAGGGTAGGAGTCTGAGGGAAGATCGTCCTGGCAGGAGAGGAGTAACTTGATGAGGCTTCTTAAAGTCTCTGAGGGTTGAGAGGTAAGGGAGAGATGATGACATTCATAACGTTCACTACGGTGGCAAGAGGTTCAGGCAGCAGAAGAGGGACAGCAAGGGTCATGGGGGTGGGGATGGGCAGTTAGGAATGATATGTGTTGCAGGAGGACAGGTGGTGTACTAGAAGTCCCAGGAGAGAAGAAGAGAGGCGGTGGGATTATGGGAGGTGATGGAGGAGGGTCATGGGTGGCGGGATCCTGAGGGGAGCAGGATGTCTGAGGAACATTGAAGAAGGGTGGCAAGAGTAGCGAGGCGGGTTGAAGAACAGCAAGGGTTGTCTGAGAGAAGTGGTTGGTCAGGGTTGTTGCTGAAGAAGGGATGGCATCGAGGGTTGCTAGGGAGAGAAGAGTGGAGAGGATGGGGTGGGAGGCAGATATTGTGGGTTGCGGAGAAAGAGAATGGCGCTGTGTTGCAGATGGGAGGGGAAGGATTGTTGTGCGGGGAGAGGACATTATGGCATGATGGAGAGACTGTTGCAGGTTGTTTGGTGTGTAAGGGCATTGTGGAAGGAATTGAGGAATAGAGTTTGGAAGAGGCAGTTTACTTCAGTTTAAAAGTTCAGTTTGTAAAATGTCTACCCCAGAATTGTTACATTAGAAATACGAAGGCTATTAGAAGCTGTGAAAATACAAGCTGTCAGTATTGAGAGCATTCGTCCAAAAAGATTCCAGAGTGCACAAGAAAGGAACTGGAGAGAATCTGTTAAGTCAGATCTTTGAGTTTGATATAAAGAGAATTTCTCTAGCCTAGAATCTCAGTAGCAAATGATGTCAGAAAATGGGATGAGACTTTTCCAGTTGTATTCTGTATTTAGGTAGCTGAGTTTGTTTCATACAATTCACTTTGTTTGTAGAACAAGTCTGTACCCATGTGACTATGCTTCAGTTACTGAACTACTGTAATTAAAATGAGAAAATCATTGAACCGGCCAGGCTTCATTCTACTCATCTAGTAATAACATAAGCTGGGATCATAATGGTCTGGTACAATGTGATTCGTTGCTAATTTTGGGGCCACAAGACCAGAATGTTGGAAACATTCTGATTCAACCTCTCGTTGAGGAACAATAGAGGGAACAGGTAACTGGGGACTGATGGCAAAGGCTTTGGTCTTCCGAATGTTCAACTGATGGAAATTTCTGCTCAAATACTGGATGTCATGACTTATCAGTGGAGCAATCAACAGTAGCAGAAGTACTGATGGGCTTCACCAATGTATATGTGATATCTGCAAATGCCTCCAAGGAGTGACCTAGATGGAAAGTAGAGAGCCAAGGATAAGCCTCTGGGTGGTACAAGAGTTAATGATATGAGAGGGAGAAATTAATTCATTACAAATGATAGAAACCGAATGAACTGTAGATGCTAAATCAGAAACAAGAACAGAAGTTGTTGGAAAAGCTCAGCAGATCTGGCAGCATTGTGCAGAGAAATCAGAGTTAACGTTTCGGGTTGAGTGACCCTTCCTCAGAACTGATGGATTCCAAATCAAGTTTACCCCTTACCCCTCTTCCTCCCACCCTATCTTCTGCATATAAACTAACATTTTCCTAGCTACCACCAGTTCTGAGGCAGAGTCACTGGACCTGAAACGTTAACTCTGATTTTGCTCCACAAATGCTGACAGACCTGAGATTTTCCATCAGTTTCGGTTTTTGTTTCATTACAACTGATACTCTGGCTCCTAAATTCAGTTAGATACATAAAGATGCAATGAAGTGTAAACAGCAACCCGACAAAATAGAAAAACTTTGGCATCGAGGATGTAGTCAACCACGCATATGACTGCAGATATGAAGGAAAAAGAAAATTTGCCTGTGTCACACGAGCTATTAAAAGTTGTGCTCTTTATTGATTAGACCTGAGCTGTATCTCTTGCAATTTCTCCCAGCTGTCTTCCTATCCACCCTGCCTTCCTTTTGACTTATTGATTTTGCTCACAAATGAATTGTTACTTGGATGGCTGTCCCTTCTGTTCTTCACTTGTCCTTTCTTGCTTGAGCATGCTGATTTTGGTCTGTTTTATCATTGTTTCTCATTTTGTTCTTTTTTTCCAAATTTATTATGACTGCAGCACGTGGGTTTATCAGAAAAACAATGACTTCATTATAATCCTGCCATTAGACACAGGTGGCATAATTATTGTTGAGCATAGTATTGCATTTAATTAATATTATATTTTCTTGTGTTCATTTATGAATGCATCATTTGTTTTTAATCTCAATATTTTATTCAGTTTGTCACTAATTCTCCACCATTCAAGTGACAATTCATGTGTGAGCTAAATCAATGAGTATTTTGGGGGTGCGGGGTAGGGTATCAATTTTGTTCTCACCTGATGTCTGCATTTAAGCATTTTCCAACCAGATCATTTTCTTCATATTCAGGAATGTGGGCTCATCATGTTTCAACATAAGACTCTTGTGGCCATTGTGCTTCTAACCACTTTACTGCCTGAGATTTCACATCATATGCAAAGTCTAGAAATTGAATTTGAATTTTTACCTTTACACCACAGCTACATGGTACCACATCAGATACTTACATTATTTATATATTTAGATAAATTAATTTTAATGTAATATAGACAGTGTTAAATGTAATGTATAGTTGAATTTGAATTGGAATAAGCAATGAATACTTTAGTTCTCAAAGCAACTTGTATGGAAGTGGAACTGTTGCTGAAAACAGTAAGAGTGCTTTTATGTCTTTTTTAAAAAAACTTTACAGACCTGCTCCACACTTGCACTTTTCCATTCGTCATCCTCACACATTGTCCTGGAAGTATTACAAGATGTTTCAATGTAAAGCCCATCTGGTGATGCGACTCATTGAAAACAGGATCAGCATGGAGTTCATGCTTCAGGTTTGCAGTAAACGTATTCTTTGAAAAGTTGTTTCCTTACATTTGAACTAGTTCACACTGATTTTTGACTTCAATTTTTGTTGCTTTCAGTTGTTTAGTTGGGATCATGGAAATTTGGCCCACAGCAGGACACGATCCACCTCATTTTGTTTGTGTTGAGTGAAAAATGCCTGTCCAACATAGTATTTTCCAGCACCTGATCTATAACATTTCAGGTTATGGTACTTCAAATACGTTTGCATGTACTTTTTCAGTATGAAGAGATTTTCTACTGTACCATCCGTTCAGATGGTGAATTCTAGACCCCTGTGAGCAACTGGGTAAAAACGTTTCTCAACTATCCCCGTTTCTTCTACCAATGACCATAAATCTGTGGTCCCTGATTATTGGCACCTTTTCTCAGGGAAATAGGTCCTTCTTATCTACACCAGGCCCTTCATAATTCATAAACCTAGTTCTTTCCTCAGTCTCCTTTGTTTGAAAGAAAACTGCCACAACCTATACTGATAACCAAAATTCTCCATTCCATAGTGAAGACTACCTGCTATTATACTGTTTGATGCTGCAAATGAAGGAAAGTTTTCACTTAATTTATTTTTCTACTTAAATCTTAAAAGATATATGGTTATTCATTCTAGGGTATCTCTGTTCCTCTACTCTTCTCAGTATCCCACCGTTTAGTATGTATTCCTTGTCTTTCTCTACTTCCCAAATGCATTACTCCACACTTCTCTGGATTGAATTCCATTTGCCACTTATCTGCCCACCTGATCAGTCCATCTGCAGTCTATGACATTCTTCTTCACTATCAACCAAGTAGCCAATTTTTGTATAGTCTAGAAATTTTGTAAAGATACCCAAAATTTGTGGTCTACATCTTGGATATAAATCACAAAAAACAAAGGACCTAGTATGGAGCTCTGTGGACCCTCACTGGAAATGGACACAACCACCTGTAAACAATTGCCTTTTTCTTCCTGCCAATGAACTGATTTTGCATTCAACTTGCCATTTCTCTTTGGATCCCATGAGTTTTCTTACTAAAAAGCCATAGGGACCTTGTCAAAAAGGCTATATCAGAAGTACTATCCTTATTGACTTGTTAGTTCAGAAGAAAGCAACTGAGTTAGAACACGTCACATTTGACTATCATCATGGCTGTTCTATAATCAAATCCTGCTTGCTCATAATTTATATCCTTTTATAGCTGTTCTTAATAAAACTGGTCCCTCATGCAAACTTGACTTTACCCAATCTCGCTGTTTTGATGGAGAGAGTCCCAGATATTCTTCGTTTGGAAAACGTGATTCTGCATTAAATTCCTAATTAGCAAACTCTAATTTAAGATCATACCAACTTGTTCTGGATTCCCACAAAAGGGAAATGTTTTATGTGTTTACCCTAATTAATTCTTTAATCATTTTTAAATACCTTAACTTTAGATCATGCCCTCAAACCTCATAAATTTCAAGGGGACACAAGGCAACGTTTTAGAACCTGTTCTGATAAATGTGCCTGCACGGCACGTCCAAGGCCTGTAAGTATTTCCCAAGATTTGTGTGCATGGAAAATAAAACTCTTCAGCTCCTCCATAGTTCCTAGTCCCCAAAATTAAGGAAATATTCTGATTTATTCTTTTTCGGATCCACTTCCCCAACCGATCTGTAATTGTTAATTGACATGAGATGAAACCATACAAAATGGTAGCAATCTTCTCCCTATACCCCTGCAAGCAAATGTGCCTGCAAAACCTTTCTTCTTTTAGAGATCAAGAGGCAGCAAATATGAATTCTTGGATTGTACTGGTTTTATCCACCAAGTAATCACAACCTTTAAATTGCATTTTGATGTATACAAATGCAAAAAGAAATCTTCAATCTTTAGGACACTTTACAACCTCAGGACTTCAGAAAGGGCTTTAGTTTGAAATATTTTTGAATGTCGTTTGAAATATCAGTAACAAGGCGACTAATTTTTACACAGAAAGATCTTCTAAATAGCAACATGGTAATGATCAGATCATGTGTTTTTGTGATGTTGATTTGAGAGATTAATGTTGAACCAGGTGTTAGGGATAGCTCATTGGTGGTGTGTTTGAGACAGAGTCATAAGGATTTTTTTTTGTCTCCCTTGGAAAGCAAGTTTTAAGGTCTCACCTAAAATACAGCACCTCTGATAGTGCAGCACTCTCTCAGTACTGTGCTGGAGCGGCAACATAGGTTTTGTCTGCAAGTCACTGGAGTAGAAATTGACCCGCAGCCTTTGACTCAAGCCTGAGTGCAACCAACAGAGCCACAACTTGCAGCGGAATAGTTCATTGTCTGAACTTCCTTCTCCACTGTGAAAGTTAACCCCTCTACTAATCAGCTGAACAGCAGAACAGCGTGTTAAGCATTTATCTGCTGATATTTCTTTGGGGTAATGGAGGGTCAGCTTTTTTTTTTAGGGTAATTATAGAAATGTATTGAGGTAATGGTAGACATTCAAGAACTAAAACTTGAAGTTTACAAATTTATAAATGTTGTATTTGCAAAGCAATGTAATGCTGTCCAAAAACATTTGTCCATTGCTTTAGGTCTTCAACAAACTTTTGAGTTTAGCCAGTACTGCTTCATCACAAAAGTTTCAATCGCACATGTGGAGCCAGATGCTACTTTCAACAACTGGATTTTTAAAATCAATATCTAATGTGTCTGGAAAAGATATTCAACCTTTGATAAAACAGTGGGTGTATCCTTTGAGTTTTTGTATTCCTTCTGCAAAATTTGAAATTAGTTTATAATCAGAACTTTTGTTCTGTGCAGCATGATTGCCCTTTAATGTTGCCCTTTAGCATACAATTTATTTCAGTTGCTCCGGACACTTCTTCAAACTGCAAACCCACAGCTCTCCCCACAACTTTACTGAATTTTTTAAGTTGTGAAACTTGTACCATCAGTTCAGAAATAGGTACTGTACAAACTTGTGTAGATTTTCTTGTTTTCACTAAATTGTCAACTTGAATTGAAATTCATGAAAAGAACCTTAATTATATGCACTAGTGACCAAAGTGGTGTAGTGAAGTTCTTTGGCAGCTTTGCATTTAATAGGAAACGAAACATCTTGGAGTTGGAACTGAAGCAAGATTGTACTTCTTTGGGAACACAGAAGTATGTGGTAAGGATCATTTAAACTCAGTTTTATGAATGTAATGCTGATCTTTCAATTTATGTGGAGACCAGCTTAGGTTGCAGAGTATTAATAATGTGTGTTTTCAATTAAAACTACTAGAGCTATAGACTGTTGGATCTATCATATGTGTGAAATTTGATGGATGAATTGTGAGTGAACCAATCATTGTGGATCTGGCAAGGCCTCTTGCAAAACTGCATTATTGGATCATCTTCATAAATGAGGGAAACGTTAGAACAACTCCTTCGTTTAATCTAATTAGGCTTTTTTCACATTTAAAGTCTTATCTATTCATCTATCTTCTAGAATTGTTTAATTGTTTATTCTTAAATAAAATACAATTTGTCCTACTAAAGTCCTTCATTTTTTTTGCAGGGACCACTGAAGGTGACAGTCCAGGAGTTAGATGGATCATTTAACCACACACTACAAATTGAAGAAAACAGCCTCAAGCATGATATTCCGTGCCATTCCAAGAGCAGACGGTAGGTGAATGTATCATGGGAAATAAGATTTCAAGGAGTTTACCCCAACTAAAGTGGAGGTTAAATTGTTTGACATCTCCTAAACCATCTTTTGTTTTCATTTGAAGGGAAGAGGTCAATAGGATTTGGTCCCTCTGTTAGAAGTTGCATGTTTGCATGGGAAATGCATTATGAAAGTTCTTTCATGTGTGAGAATATTCATAACTAGAAAGACTAGGGCAGACTTTTACTTAAGTACAGAATATCATCAAATTGGTCCATGTCGTTATTTCTGATTATTCCACAAATCAATTATTTTTAAAGAAAATCTTGAATCCAGTCAGTATAGAATGCCTGGAAAATTATGCACTGATGGTTACTGGTCGACGTAAGCAGGTGATAAAGGAGCAAGGAAGGATGAAAGGCATATGGCGTGTGGGTTGGAAAATGGGTTTGTACAGGAACGAAGGGGCAGTGGATCGGAGCATGGGAGGAATTTTGGGAGTGTGGGAGGTACTGAATGGAAGACGGAATGGCCTAGGAGGGATGGAATTGAAATAATATGAGAGGGATGAAAGAAGTGGGATGGAATGGCATTTAACATAGACTTTAAAGAAGTATTATTGCAATAAAGATACTAATTCCACTGTAAGTGTTTGTAAGTCTACTTACAAATTTTAGAATTATTTGTAAAATATTTTTGTTCTAATACCCCATTGTTGTAAGGTTGTTACAAATACAATAAAGATGCGAAGTTTTCTAAAGTAGGCTGGTGATCAGGATATTTAATAGTCACAGAAGTCTGAAGACTATACTCTTGCATGTATCTCCTTACCATTCCATTACTGTACAGCCATGTTGGATTCAAGTGTATTCCTTTGCTTCCTTTTGTTGGGTCATTTAAAAAATGCATACCAATTGTATTTAAAACTTAATGAAATTAAAATTAAAAATTTTAAAGATTTTGTTCAAGTTACAACTTGGTGAGATCAGTGTCCAAGTTTTATTTTCTCAGTTGATGAATCCTATTTTGTTTGGAACAACTCTTCCTCAATTCATTTAGAAATGGTGTTTCGTTTCAAAATTTCATATTTTGCTGAAAATTCTTTGTAATGGCAAGTGAACACTCGGATATTTGCATTTTCTGTAAATGTTGCACGTGAGAGCAATTCTAGTCTGCTTGATCTATTCCTTAAATCCATTTACCCACCATGGCTCCACAGACCTTATTTAGTGAGTTATCAATTTGAAACCAAAAGAACTGTAGATGCTGTAAATCAGAAACAAAAACAGAAGTTGCTGAAAAACCTCAGTATGTCTGGCAGTATCTGTAAAGCGAAATCAGAGTTAACGTTTCTGGTCCAGTGACCCTTCCTCAGAACTGATGATAGCTAGGAAAATGCCGGTTTATGTGCAGAAGATAGGGTAGGGAGAGGGGGCAAGAAGGAAATGATAAGTGGGGATAGAGCCTGAAAAGAGAGGGAAGAACAGCTGGACAGACAAAGATATGAGTAATGATTTGGCTGCGAGTGTGAATAGCTGTTAGTGGAGACCGTTAGAGGTGAACGGTAGGTAGTATGTAATGACAGACTATGTGATAACAAGGCCTGGTGTGTGGCGTTGGGGGCTCATACATAGGAGAGTTCAAGCCCTAAAATTATTGAACTCGATAATGAGTCCAGAGAGCTGCAGGGTTCCCAACTGGAAAATGAGGTGTTCTTCCAGCTTGTGCTGAGCTTCGCTGGAACACTGAGACAAGCCTGAGTTAGAGATGTTGGCCAGGGAACAGGGTGGTGTGTTAGAGTGGCTGTGAAAACACAGGATCGTTTTTGCAGGCAGAAGGTTTTGCGCAGCGATCACCCAGTCTGCGCTTGGTTTCCCCAGTGTAGAGGAGACCACATTGAGAGCAGCAAATGCAATACAGTAGATTGTAAGAAGTGCAGGTAAAGTGCTGCTTTGGAAGCCCTAGGATACTGAGGAGGGAAAAGGTGAATGGGCAGGTGTTACAACTTGTGCAGTTGTAGGTGAATGTGCTGGGTGAGGGTAGGGAGTGGGATGTTGGGAGTGAAGGAAGAGTGAACCAGGGTGTCCCAGAGGAAACGGTCCCTGCGGAAGGCGGACAGTGGAGGCGAGGGCAATATGTGTTTGGTGGTGACATCTCGCTGGAGGCGGTGGAAATAGCAGCTGATGGTCTTCTGGATGTGGATGCTGGTGAAATGGTATATAAGGACAAGGGGAACCCTATCGCTGCTGCAGGAAGGAAGAGAAGGGGTGAGGGCAGAAATGTGGAAGATGGGTCAGACCTGGTTGAGGGCCCTGTTGACAATTGTGCTGGGGAATCCTCGGTTGAGGAAGAAGGTGGACATTTCGGAGGCTCCCTTGTCGAAGTTGGCCCCATCATCACGTAAGTGATGAAGGTGGGAGAATGGGATGAAGTCTTTACAGGAAGCAGGGTGCGAGGATTTATAGTCCAGGTAGCTGTGGGAGTCGGTGGATTTATAGTGGATATTAGTGGCCAGTCTATCCCCAGAAGTGGAAACAGATGTTGAGGAAGGGAGGAGTCAGAGATAGACCAGATTAAAGTGAGGACAGGGTGGAAATTGGATGCGAAATTGCTGAACTTTTCCAATTCTGGATAAGAGAGGGAAGCAGTGTTGATGTATCGGAGAACGAGTTGTGGATGGGTGTGCTGGAATAGGACTGGAACAAGGAATGTTCCACGTACCCAATGAAGAGTCGGGGCATAACTGGGGCCCACATGGGTACCCGTGGCCATCCTGTGACTTGAAGACAATAAAAAGAATTAAATGAGAAGTTGTTGAGGGTGAGGACTAGCTCGGCCAAACGGAAGTGGGTGGTAGTGTGTGGGGACGGTTCAGGCCTATGGTCCAGAAAGAAGTGGATAGCCTTGAGACCATCCTGATGGGGGGATGGACGTGTACAGGGATCGATTTGAAAGCTTGAATTGACCAGGAACCCAGATCATTTAGGGACAGAGTTACAGTTTCAATCCTAATCGTAACCCAAAATAAACCCTGTGTGTGGCCAAACTCCCTGTAGGACAACATCCCAGTATTTGTCCTTGTTGTGTAACAGCAAATACAATATAAAATGTTATTTGAATTAGTTAAATGGTGAATATAAGAAATTGCAAACTTCAGTTATTTTACATAAGCTAATTACCATCAAGAAGTCCACATAGCTGCAACTGCAGTTCTGATTGAATGTTAAAATATCATTGCTAGATTTTGGCAACTAGAAATAATGGGATCTTTATGTCTGGGAATTGTTTGAAGGTAGATTTTTATAACAATAAAAAAATGGCTTATTTGCATTGACCTGTTCATAATTTTGATTTGATGTCATTATTCTTCCTATTTAGGAATAAGAAAAAGAAGATTCCACTATTGAATGGAGAAGAAGTGGATATGGATCTTTCTGCTATGGAGTAGGCCATTTTCATTCCTCTAAAGTAATTTTTAACCAGTGAAATTACTAACTTAAGGCATCTTCTGTTATGTAGGGAAATCATAGTTATTTATTAAATTGTTTTTTGTAGTGCTGATTCCCCTTTGCTGTGGATAAGAATAGATCCAGACATGTCTGTTTTGAGAAAAGTGGAATTTGAGCAGGCTGATTTCATGTGGCAGTACCAGCTCCGCTTTGAGAGGGATGTGGTTGCACAGGAGGAATCAATTCATGCTTTAGAAAAATTTCCTACTCCAGCATCACGGCTAGCACTAACAGATATCCTGGAACAAGAGCAGTGCTTTTACAAAGTCAGAATGCATGCTTGCTTCCGGCTGGCAAAGGTGAGCTACAATGAAATTCTGTAACTGATTAAGCAGAGTGACTTATTGAGAGGCTGGGAAAGAAACTTGTATGGTGGGGCTTCCTAGGAAACTGTAACTATATTTCAAAAGTACTATTTTCCCTGTGATACCTTTTAATATGTCCTCAGGCTGTGAAAAGCATTATATACATGCAAGCTCTTTTTTTTTTGTGCGAAAGATTCTGTGGTAGCACACATGTATTTAATGCTATGATTCTTCCTCGCAATATTTCTGAAAACAGTATTGTTGAATTCTCTGTGTTAATTTTGAAATCTCACAACCAAATCCCAAAACAAACAGGTAATCAAATTAAATCCTTTTTTCCTAATTTCTAAAGAAAATTAGAATATTTCTATCATCTATAGATATCCGGAAACGAATACATTTTGGGAGAGTGATGTTACATGCACCTCTTTTGACGATTCATTTATAACAATCAGCCACTTGACCACTACCTGTTCTAAAATGTCACTTTTGGCTGCATGTTGACATGGTTTTTTTCTGCATTGATTTTGTCTGGTTGTTTCACAGGCAAATATTTTTTGACCTTTGCTGCACTGGTCTCTCTTTCAGTTCCTGTACTGTTTCATCTGGAGATCCCCAAAGATCTTGCCCTTCAGAGACACATCTAAAAGCAGTTTCCATAAATACACAATGCTTAACTCTACTTGACAACTAATCATGACTACCCGATTGCTGCTGCTTATTCAAAATTCAATACTGCATGAGCAAGAATTTCCTCTAACTAATCATTGGAAGGACTTGAAGCCATTGTCTTTGATAATTGCCATGAACTTCATTCCCTCCCAATGACTCAGTACCTCTCCCTAACGATAAAGGTTGAATCGGGGTATTTGCAATATTGATGTCGTAACTAAACTCGATTTGAGTTTATGACCACATATCTAGCTTAGGTCATCTCTGTTATGTCAGCTATCTCATTCTGTATCAAAGTTTATCTTTTATACCTTAAGTAGGCCTTTGTTAACTCTGCTTCAAGTAATCCACTGCACAATCTCGAAAGTTCTGTGCCCCTCATTGCTTCCTGTTTCCAAACTCGCAGCAAGTCCTGCTCATCCATAACCCTGTGCTTACTAACCAACATGGACCCCTTATTAAACAATGCCTTGGTTTTAAATTCTCATTATTTTCTAATCTCTCCATTCTCTTGTCCCCTCCAGCCCCAGAACCCTCTGAGGTATATATACTTGTCCTCTTGTGCAATCTGACTTTAATTGCTTCATGCTTCACCACTATATAATCTGCCATCTGCTGCCAAGTCCCTAAGTTCTACAGTTTTCTCCCTGCAACTCTGCACCTCTCTTCCTCTTTCCTCCTCCAAGATGCTCCTTAAAACCATACTCTTTGAACAAGCTTTTTGCTTTTGCCCAATTTCTCCTGACGTGACAACAAGGTGCAGAGCTGGATTAACACAGCAGGCCAAACAGCATCATAGGAGCAGAAAGGCTGACGTTTCGGGCCTACACCCTTCTTCAGAAATGGGGGAGGGGAAGGGGGTTCTGAAATAAATAGGGAGAGAGGGGGAGGCGGATAGAAGATGGATAGAGGAGAGGATAGGTGGAGAGGAAACAGACAGGTCGAAGAGGCGGGGATGGAGCCAGTAAAGGTGAGTGTAGGTGGGGAGTTCGGGAGGGGATAGGTCAGTCCACGGAGGACGGACAGGTCAAGGGGGCGGGATGAGGTTAGTAGGTAGAAGATGGGGGTGCGGCTTGAGGTGGGAGGAGGGGATAGGTGGGAGGAAGAACAGGTTAGGGAGGCGGGGATGAGCTGGGCTGGTTTTGGGATGCGGTAGGGGGAGGGGAGATTTTGAAGCTTGTGAAATCCACATTGATACCATTGGGCTGCAGGGTTCCCAAGCGGAATATGAGTTGCTGTTCCTGCAACCTTCGGGTGGCATCGTTGTGGCACTGCAGGAGGCCCAGGATGGACATGTCGTCTGAGGAATGGGAGGGGAAGTTGAAATGGTTTGCGACTGGGAGATGCAGTTGTTTATTGCGAACCGAGCGTATGTGTTCTGCAAAGCGGTCCCCAAGCCTCTGCTTGGTTTCCCCGATGTAGAGGAGGCCACACCGGGTACAGCGGATGCAGTATACCACATTGGCAGATGTGCAGGTGAACATCTGCTTGATGTGGAAAGTCTTCTTGGGGCCTGGGATGGGGGTGAGGGAGGAGGTATGGGGGTAGGTGTAGCACTTCCTGTGGTTGCAGGGAAAAGTGCCGGGTGTGGTGGGGCTGGAGGGGAGTGTGAAGCGGACAAGGGAGTCACGGAGAGAGTTGTCCCTCCGGAAAGCAGATAAGGGTGGGGAGGGAAAGATGTCTTTGGTGGTGGGATCGGATTGCAGATGGCGGAAGTGTCGGATGATGATGCGTTGGATCCGGAGGTTGTTGGGGTGGTACGTGAGGACGAGGGGGATTCTTTTTTGGTTCTTATTGCGGGGACGGGGTGTGAGGGATGAGTTGCGGGAAATGTGGGAGACACAGTTGAGGGCATTCTCGACCACTGGGTGGGTGGGGGGGTGGAAAGTTGCAGTCCTTGAAAAACGAGGACAACTGAGATGTACGGGAGTGGAATGCTTCATCCTGGGAGCAGATGCGGCGGAGGCGAAGGAATTGAGAAGAGGGGATGGCATTTTTGCAGGAAGGTGGGTGGGAGGAGGTGTATTCTAGGTAGCTGTGGGAGTCGGTGCGCTTGAAATGGATATCGGTTTCTAGGTGGTCGCCCGAGATGGAGACAGAGAGGTCCAGGAAGGAGAGAGAGGTATTAGAGATGGTCCAGGTGAACTTAAGGTTGGGGTGGAAGGTGTTGGTGAAGTGGATGAACTGTTCGAGCTCCTTGTGGGAGCGCAAGGCGGCGCCGATACAGTCATCAATGTAACGGAGGAAGAGGTGGGGTTTAGGGCCAGTGTAGGTACGGAAGAGGGATTGTTCCACGTAACCTACAAAGAGGCAGGCGTAGCTTGGGCCCATGCGGGTACCCATGGCCACCCCCTTTGTCTGTAGGAAGTGGGAGGAATTGAAAGAGAAGTTGTTGAGGGTGAGGACCAGTTCGGCTAAGCGGATGAGGGTGTCAGTGGAAGGGGGACTGGTCGGGCCTGCGGGACAGGAAGAAGCGGAGGGCCTTTAGGCCATCTGAATGGGGAATGCAGGTGTAGAGGGACTGGACGTCCATGGTAAAGATGAGGTGTTGGGGACCGGGGAATTGGAAGTTCTGGAGGAGGTGGAGGGTGTGGGTGGTGTCACGGACATAGGTAGGGAGTTCGTGGACCAAGGGGCAGAAAATGGAGTCCAGATAGTTGGAGGTTCGGTGGGGCAGGAGCAGGCGGAGACAATGGGTCGACCAGGGCATTCAGGTTTGTGGATTTTGGGAAGGAGGTAGAAGCGGGCGGTGCGGGGTCGGGGAACGATGAGGTTGGAGGCCGTGGGTGGGAGGTCACCTGAGGTGATGAGGTTGTGGATGTTTGGGAGATGATGGTTTGGTGCTCAGGGGTGGGGTCATGATCAAGGGGGCG